TATTATTATTATTATTATTATTATTATTATTATTATTATTATTATTAACACAATATAATAGAAATAAGAATAAACATAAGTATAAATACTATACATAAAATAGGTACAAATAATTGGGAACAATAGGACAGGGATGGTAGGCACAATTGTGTGCTTATGCATGCTGTGGTTGTATAAACAGGAGGCATAAAATTAAAACCACATGAAGTATTAGTATTGTTTTACAAAGCCTTAGTAAGACCACAACTGGAATACTGCATCCAGTTTTGTTCACCACATTACAAAAAAGATATTGAGAATTTGGAAAAAGTGCAGAGAAGAGCAACTAAGATGATTAAAGGCCTAAAACATATGAAGAACAGTTGGAGGATTTGGGTTTGGCTGGTATAGAGAAAATAAGGACTATGAGGATGGCATGATAAGAGTATTCCAGTATTTGAGAGGCTGCCACAAAGAAGAGGAGGTCAATTATTTTCCAAAGCACCAGAGGGTAGGACAAGAAACAATGGATGGAACTAATCAAGGAGAAAAGCAACCTGGAATTAAGGAGAAACTTCCTAAAGAGAGAACAATTAACCAGTGGAGAGAACAATTAACCAGTGGAACAGCTTGCCTTCAGAAGTTGTGGTGCTTCATCACTGGAGGTTTTTAAGAAGAGAGTGGTCAACCACTTGTCTGAAATTATATAGGGTCTGCTGCTTGAGGAGGGGGTTGTACTAGAAGACCACCAAGGTCCCTTCCAACTCTATTCTGACACTTGAAATTATACATTAAAATGTTGAATAGGTAAACAACATTTAAATATTTCACATGGTCATCCAAGGACACAGAGGGAAAATTTATGAAGGCTACTAGCTATTTTTTAATTTATGTTAGCACTATGTAGTCTCTAGATAAGCATTAGATCTGATCTTCTATTCTTTTGTATAGGAATTTTTCTAAATAGTGTATTATATGTAATATGTGCCTCTCAAGGCATACACTGAAAAACTACTGAAATATTTATCCTTTAACTCGAGGTTTTGAGTGGCCCAGTATAGAACGCAACATTATATTTCAGTTAATTTTATCAAAATGTATTATATGAAATATAACTACTATGTAATTATTCTAATTTATTCATGCATAGATGAGAAAAGGCAAGACAAAAATGATTAACATCTCTGGTATTTAATGTATACAATATTGATGCATTATAACTGTTTCAAAATTATTTAATGCTATTTAATGTCATTTTAGCTTTAACTGGACAAAAGATGGGAAACCATTTAGTCTGTTGGGTGACTCACGGATAACTACATTTAATAATTCAGGAACATTTGTAGTTAAAAATCGTGGGAACATAGCCTTTTTCCAAGGAAAATATCGCTGCTATGCATCCAACGTGTTGGGAACTTCTATGTCACAAGAAATTGAGCTAATAGTTCCAGGTGAGTATTTGTGATGATAATTATCATTATTGTTTTATAATAATTATTATAAATATATAAATATGTAATTATTGTTGATTCAAAGTACTTTCTCTAAACAGCTAAATTGTAAGATGCTGAACATCTTGTTTATTCTACTATGTATACTAGTAGTATAGTTCATACTACTTGTATGAACTACTATGGTAGTTCATTGCTTTAATTGTACTTAACTTGATGTGGGATTTATAAGAACCACTCAGGAGATAGAAGAGCCTTGAACAATGCAGGTGTTTTGTTTTGGAGAATTGTGACAAGCATTTCCTGTGTTCTTGTTGAGCCTTAAGTATTCCTTCTGGATTCTTCCTTTTCATCCACTTTCTCAATGATACATTTAGGAATACATCAAATGGCAATAATGTAGTGAGACTTCTTCGAAGAATAAAAATAAAGAGTTAATTATGAATTCTTTTTCTTTGAGCAAGTTTGTTCAGCATTTTTCATTGGAGATATTAGAGTTTAATTTAAATGTAAACCTTAAATGTAAGAAGCCTATAATCTACATTAGTAAAATCTTCTTTAAACCCAGCTTGACTCCTGATGATTTTATGGATATATTCCCTTAACATTTGTAGCAGCAGTTGAGGTTTTACCATAGCCTTATTTCAGAATGTTTTTCTATTTCAAATCTAAAGTTCCATGTATGTCATGGATTTGGTGGTCTCCCATCCGAACAGTAATCAGGATTGATTATGGTTAGCTTACAAGCTGAGGTGCTGCTACCAGCTAAAATTGGTGATCTGCAGTAATAGGTTTAATTCCCTGTGCTGCTGCATTGTAGATCCATTGCAGCTTTCACCCGGTCCTTAAATGTAGCCCCATATAGAACATTACAGTATTCTGTTTAACCAAGGCATAAATTATTATGAATAATGTCTCCCATTCCACAAAAAGGAGCAATTGGCACACTAAAAAAGATATGTGTGAAAGCTGTCTTCACCATGAACTGAATGATGAATTAAACGATTTGTAATTTAATGTCTTTTTAAAAATGACTTGTAATTAATCTAAGACAAAAATAAAAGTTGCTTTTTTTGGCTTGGGACCATGATTTCAGTGCTTTTATTTTATTACAGCATAGCAATAATGGCACTTGGAGGTGGCAAAATATTATAAACAATCAAGGCATGAATGGTGGTTATGTCCATAAAAGAATGTAGGTAACTGGGATACCCTGGATACCTTAAGAGATGGGCCACAGGCCAAAGCGAGTTGCAAGCAAGCTTAGCAAGACAACCTCACTCTGTGCTGATTAGGAGTTACAGAGATGGAGCAAAATGTCTTTGCTGGAACTTAACAGCTGTCAAAGTTATTGCAGCCAGATCAAGTAGACTCAGTGCTGTGACAACCAGCTGTGCTGCTCCTCTATCCTGAAAAGATTGAAACACCACCACTGCAATTTTTCTCTCTAAAAGTGCTGCATTCAAGCTAGAACATCATAACAGGTCTTCTTCCTTGAACAAAGCCACTAGCTCATTAACTGAAAGATTTGCCCTGTGGCCAAAGAGTACTACTTATCTCCCCTGGGCAGAATGTTCAGCTTTGAAAGATTTTTGTACTTCTTTGTTGAATGTTAAAAGAAAATAAAAGCACTAGGCCCTGCTTTTTATCACAAAGGTGCTTTTTCAGGAGGCAACTGGAGTTTCTTGTTTTTTCCTTGAAAACATTTAACTTCTCATCCAAGAAGCTTCTTCAGCTCTGAAAGGATAGTGGGCAATGGAAGGATTTATATTCCTTGTAGACAGCTGGTCATTTGCATCCTTTTAGACAGTCATGGTGCTCCTGGTTCCTGTAGTCTAGAATTTTTTTCTGGAAATCCCACATCATTCAAAGGGTTTTCTTCCCAAATTGTATAGCAAAAGTCTGTAGAGGTTCCCAGTCATCCAGGTCATGGTTGTTACAAAGATGCTTTTTCAGGAGGCAAATGTAATTATCAAAAGCTCATTTTGAAGTGTGAGTGTGAGGTTAGAGCCACTCCTATGCTTTTAGGCCTCTGAAAATCATTGAAGACATGGCTATAACAACTATCCTGGGGCCCAATGGGAGTGTGGCATATTGGAGATGGCTAATGGACTAGAGAACACCCCACCTCCTGTCTGTGCATGCTTTGCTTCCTCCCTCTCCATCCTGATTAGTTTTATTTTAATTGATCTTTTTTAAAGTAAGATCTTTATTGTTTTAATGTTTTATTTTGTATTTTATTCAATTTCTGTAAGCTCACCTAGATGAGTGGCATACAAGTTTGATAAACAAACTTCAAGTGCTTTAGCTTAGAGTTAAACCACGTATGCTAAACATCAGAGAATAATGACAGCTTTTTGAGTTTTCCTTCGCCACACATAAGTACACAGAGATTCACTTCTCTCTTCCTCCTCTACCTTTGTTTTTTTTTTAATCTAATCTAAGTATTGACAGTGAATTTAAGCCTTCTCCAGAAACAAAGACAATGTTCTTGCTCTATTATAAATAAAATCCAGAAGGCAATCATGAATAGTTTAGCCCTAAGTTACATGGAATGTGGCTGAATTTATGCATAAATATATTATCAGGGCTGTGCAAAATTTATTTGCTGACTTTCACCATGCCTCTTTTTTTCCAGGAATGAGCTAGCAGGCATATTAATATACAACCAATTTAAAGAGTACTCAGGAGAATAGTGTTATCAGTGTCAGACAGTGATTTGATTTGGGTAGACAGTGTTTAATATTGAATCCCTTCTTTTTCTCTGGAAAATTATTTTAGTGCTCCACAAACTTTTACATAAAATTATAATTGATGTCTTAAAACATTTTTCAACAAATATTAATAGATGTTTTTTAAAATAAGAGCAAAAACTTTCTGGTAATTAGAAAATCTAAAAATCATAGAAATGAAGAGAAAACATGCATATATTTTTCAACTTTTCCCTCTCTTAATTGCCATTATTTTATTATTGCTATTATTATTACGTATTGTAGATGTATATCTTATTTTGCAGTAGTAATACAAGGTAATGTGTATAACATTCCCTCATTCAAATTATCCATACCACAGCTAAGTTTTTGTTTTTCTATTTTGGCTGATATGCTATTCAGTTCCAGGTAACAAAATATAAAAAGCAAAAACATTAAAATCATGATAAACAAATCAATATTGCCTTCCCAAAAAATCTACCTTGCTCATCAGTAAATACAAGTTCTGGTATTAATTGGGATTTATATATAACAACTCTACCTTTTCTGTTCTTGCTGAAAAAAAATTATTCCCCCAATTTTTTAACAATCAAGTATTTTATATTTTATTTCAAATATATGTTTCTTGTCGGTAAATTATATTTTTTATTTTTTTTCAAATATTTTCTTTCTCGAGGAGAATTTGCTTATATTTCACATTAAACATTTTTAATCCTAAATCAGGCTCAACGTTTAGAGAAAAATAAGATATCTCTAGTGCCTAGTTCAGTATAATCCATTTTAGTTTCCCACATTACCTGATGGAGTTTTTAATTAGTCTCATCTAACATCTCCATTAGAAACTCTCCTCTTCAATATTTTGTAGAAATTCCCTTGCTTTCTGGACAGCTCAATCAAAATCTCTGCTATTTAAAAGTAAAATAACACCTTCCATTTTTTACAACTGAAACTGATTTTTTTCCTGCTTTTACTTCTCATTCAAAAAAGAATATTCTATTGGCTAATAGAATTTATTTTAAAATCAATTATGTATGTATTATAAGTTTTTAATAGGGCTGCTGCAAAATTGTTCATTTATCTTCTTCCTGACATAATGTACCAAATCATTCCTTCTAGTGAGGATTCATGGTGAATTAGGTATCTCTAGTGGGAACACTACTGAAATGAAGATGGGAAGTCAGACAACAAATTCTGTCTGTTGCACTTCTACAGAAAAAAGAGAGATTGCCCACTCTGGATAATTACCCCTCTTAGGAGCTGAGGTTTTTGTTTGTTGGTTGGTTTATTGGGTGACTGAAAGTTAAGGAATTTCAAACAACCTCATAGCTTCAATGCAGCTGACATGGACATATGATTCAAATGAGCATCATACTTAAACATTTTCAAATATAATTAATTTACAGCTAAAGAGCGATTTTCTGAGTAACGGAAAAGAAAATTCCACTTAATAAATCAAAATTCTTTCTGAATTATGAAGAGGGGGAAAAGTTTAGTTTTTTAAGATGTAAGAACTTTTGGTGAAACGATTATCGACAAATGGCTACAAGAAAGTTTAATACAGATAAAAGGGATAGTAATTTTCAAAAGTTATTTCTTGGTAAAAGTGCTCTTGAGCAAACTTTTTAATATAGACAACAGAACCTGTTTTTTGTTTACAGTTAAAGAGCAGGCAATTGGTGGAATTTACAAAACTAAAGATAAAGATTATATGAATACTAGATTGTGTTGTTGAATGTAGCTATAAAGATGCTGACTATGATGTTTGGCTATAACTATGGAGGGTCATTTGAGACAAAAGTATTAAGAGCAGAGGAAGGCAAAATAGCAAGCCTAAAGGATACCATAATATTATAAAGATAATTAAAGCAGCTACTTCAAGATACACCCACTGCCCTAGAACAACTGGTTTCTTAAGCTTCTTTATACATAAATAAGTGAAAAGCCACATATGTGTCTATAATTGTATATAAATGGTTTTTTGTGCAAAGATAAAGGAAAATTCCCCTTTCCTCATAGTACTTCATGGCCAAATACAGATGGCATTTTGAACAACTATACAGAAGTGGTATGACACTGACTTATTCCTAATTTCTTCCCTGTATAGTCTTAGCCCCAGTATTATTTGTTGGTTTTCTCATTCAATAATAATCTTGTATGTAGCTGTTCAAGGTCAGCTTGCTGGCTTAGATGTGAAAGAACAAATAATCCAATTTATTTATTTTATTTATTACTTAAATTTGCATACCACTCATCTCTGTTTAAACCTGATGGGTTTGGGAAGAAAGAAAATGTATTTATTCATTTCCAATATCTGTATGCTTTATATATGATCTGTATGCTCCATGTATGATCCATCAACCAAAAGTGACAATGGGTGTATATTGATATGATATGTATATGCTAAAGATAAGGAAAATGAAATAAAAGAAAACTCCTAACATTTTTAAGAGGATATACTGCATGTATGGGAAGAAGTGATGAGAAAAAGAGTGAGATTATATTAGATTGTATAAAAAATAGTGTTGTACAGTATGTGCTAATTTATACCTCACCACCCTTTAAATCCAAACACATGGACTTTTGATTATCACAGAGAAACCTTAGCATCTTTGAAAGGTCCATCTTTTCTCCCCTACCTCCTCTTTGGCTGAGTTAGTATCTAAACAATGCTATTCTGCATGGCCAAATTTGATAAGTGGGGTTGTAGAGGACCTTAAAATAAATCAATTCCTTTTATGTACAAACACAATCAAAGCATAGCCTGATAAATATGACATCATGATAATAGCATGGTTCTTGGCAGGCATCTCCACAATTTTGAAGGAAGATACTAGGTGCCTGGCAACTCACCATCCATATAAAAAGTGAACAGAGAAAGAAATCACACCAAGTCATGCTTTTCAACATCAATTATGCCAAGGAAACCACTGAGTGGTTTTCACTTTGCTCAGTGACAGCGGGATTTCAAAGTCAAACAAGGATCCTGCTGAAGGAGAAAATAAAAGTCCTGTTTACACATTCCAGTTATTCCAACAACACAATGAAAATGCAAATGTATAAAAAGGGCTATTAACACAAATTTTAAGTCTGAATAGCCCTACAGTATTATAGGGATGAAAATAGGGAACCTGAAATAAATAAGAGTTTACACACTTTCAACTGAGTGAACATTCAAAATTATTTTACATAAATACAGAGGGAAGTATTGGAGTACAATTCCAATAATTATATTCTAATGCATAATGGAAGACTGTTAGGAAGCTGAAGGCTTCCTTCAGCTTCCTAACTAAGCTGTGTAATTGAAACATCCTGTAACTTTTAATTTTCAACCTATTCCTGTAGCCAAAAGGAGGAGAGATTGTTTGGAGTTTGGTGCTGATCATGACATTTGAAGTATACAGAAATGGCAATTGGTAGCAAAATGTGATAACCAGGCTGCTAGCCAGCATAAGTCCAGCTTGTAATAATGAGAGATCTGTATTAGTTGCCAATGGCTTCCCACAGTTTATGATGGTGGTCTTTAAATCTATAATACACTTAGAATTCTATTTTCCCCATTAGTCTTAGATCTCATTCTTCCAATTCAGCATTATGATATGGCTTCTACAATTGTGAGCCAAGGGCTAAATGAACCACTTCTTCTTTACCTTCCCAGTCTGAATGTTCTTGAGATCTTTCCCATACTCAACATTGTTCATCTTGGAAAGGGATCAATAAGAACCAATCAAATGATTTTGTTGGTCCCAATGGCAGGTAGCTAAAGATATATACATATACACATGTACACATGTACATGTGTGCACGCACGCACACACGCTAAAAGGTTGAGGGGAAATTTCTGGTCTTTCAAGTTATGGCACTTGACAGATATAAAGAAAAGAGGTTTATTTTGTTTTGTTTTTTGAAAGAGAACTATTCACATTACAACCTTCCTAAAATGTATGACTAGATTTTGTTTAGTTTCAACATCTTTTTAAAATAAAAACACTCAGCTTTTTGGTAATGTGACACTTCAGTTTTGTGGGCCAAACTTTCCTGATTAATTTTCCCTATCCAGTTCCTTCCCATTGCTGATCTCTTATTGTCCAATTATATTTGAATACATTGTTTTGGGAACTGTCTCTTCAATGGCCAGCTGATTGGTGGGTCATTGCATTCCATTTCCAGGTCTTTGACCTTGAGATGGTGTCTCTGGAAGGTATGATGAGTAGCTAGCCTTCTCCCCTTCCTACCAGTTCCCTTTCCCCATCGTTCATGGCAAACTGGCAGCTAGCAAATATGAAGCTCAAGCATATGATGGAAGTTCTGACAGTGTGGTTGGGAGATTTGCAGCAAAGATATAAAACAAGGTTTAATTTGACTCTACATGGAGTCTTTTTGTTTTTTTTGTTTTCTTTCCATAAATGTTTAATGAGAGGCATAACACTCTACAACAGTGTTTGCCAACCAGTGAGCCACTGGTGGGCCATGAGAAAATTTTGGTGGGCCGCAGATAAATCTCACCCCCAGAGCACCCCCACAAAGCAATTAATTAATTAACAAGGCTGCTCAGCCCACATGGCCCGCGGGAACCCTCCCTGCCCACTCACTCCTTACCCAGTAAACTTGTCTGCTAAGTTGCTAGTTTTCCTTTTTCCGACCATCATCTGTTCTGCTGTGCCAGGAGATTTAGATTAGCTAGGAATCAGGAAATGGTTGGATTTCTTGCTTTCTAGCTAAGCACAGCTGAATCTCCCTTAGGACTGAAGGTTTGCTTGCAAGCAAATTCAGTGCAGACTCACGGCAAGCAAATTTGAGAGACTGAGCTAGCTGATGGCAGATAGATAGATCACTGAATGATTCTGTGAGCAACCCAATCTGCCTGCTTTGCCTGATTTTGGATAAAAGTTGCTTTTTTATATAAAAAATCCAATATTTACATACATGGTGTATTGTGCATTAATTTTGTGAGTTTGCTTGCAAGCAAATTTTATGAGTTTGCTTGCAAGCAAATTTTATGTGACAGACTGAGCTAACCAATGGCAGATAGATAGATTTCTGAATGAATCTGTGATTCTTTGAGTAACTCAATCTGCCTGCCTGTTTTGCCTGCTTTTGTGTAAAAGTTGCTCTTTTTTATAAAAAATTCAATATTTATATAAATATTTATAATATTTACATACAAGCCATGCCCAGCCAGTCACATGACCACCAAGCCACACCCACAAAATAGGCCATGCCCACAGAACCAGTTAGTGGTCACAGGGATCTAAAATTATGAGTTTGATGGTACCTGAGGTCCGAAAGGTTGGCGACCCCTGCTCTAGAACCCTTGTTTTAAAAATAAAAAATAAAACAATGTAATGAGATTCATCCTTGGTATACAATTATTTGTTTTAATGCTGCCATTAACTCTTTATCTACAGTTAGAAGTCTGTTGAAAAATACAGGGAATTATAGAATGTCAATAAAGGCATACTCTGGAAATAATTTGATTATTTGATAAAGCTTAGGGCTGTAAAATTATACTGTATTTCTACTTATTTATTTACAAGTCATATTTACACATTAACTAGTTGCGTTTCAATACCAATACAATTTTAAAGTACAATATAACCATCAACCAAAAACAACAGACTGAAACAGAATTTAAAATATTTAAATATTAGGAAAGGAAAACATGATGTTAGGGAAAATAATTCATGAGGATGTTTTAGAATTAAAATAATTCTGTTTATCTGCTATAGCAACTTTGGGAAATTCAGAAGGATAACTTGGAAGATAATCCAAGTATGGTAATTGCATGAGAATAGGATTTGTGACATTAATTATTTTCATATAACTGATTAAATGTAATTAGCAGACTTTAAAGCTCAACCAGATTTTGAAGTGGAGATAGATTAGATATTAGTGATATTAAATTCCATGAAAGTGCTAATGGACCTAATTACCTGACCTTAGCAAATCCCTTTCATTTGTAAAATAAAACCAAATCTCTATCTATATAGTGGGAAGGAAGAATGTAAACCTGATCAATAAAAAAAAAATTATACATCACTGTTAGCGTCTCTGCTATGCCTGAAATTGCCACTGGATAGTTATCCAGAGAAAAAACATGTCAAAATATTTTTCCCTCAATAATTTTTGTTTTACCACCTGAATAAAAGGGACACAGGCAAAAACAAAACATGGCAGGTAACATTGAATAAAAAGAATGCCAGGAATAGGAAAAGATTAACAAGTGCTATTTAGCTTCTTCTTATGGTGCTTCTATTACAATAGGTATTCCTAAATTTCCTAAGGAGAAGATTGACCCTATTGACATAGAACATGGTGATGCAATGGTTTTGCACTGCAATCCTCCCAAAGGCATCCCACCACTGCACATTTATTGGATGAATATTGGTAAGTATCCATCCTTTCTTTATGACATCATTACAAATGGAATCTCTCTGCAAAAGTATTTCTATAATTTGAATTTAATTAAAATCGCATGTGGTTGATAAATGGCATTTTCTTTGGTTAACAGAATGCAGCAATAAACTGAAAATTACAGATAATGAATTAGAAAATGTTAATGCTAAACTTAAAAGGCAGCTGCAAAGATTAATGCTAGTCATTAAAACACTTACTAATCTTACATCATGGAAAAGGAAAATATAATGAATTATATTTGGATTTCATTCAGTGAGTCACATTTCTGTATGTATCCAGTCCTGTCTCAAAGCAAATGAAGTTCTTGGTTTGAATGTTGATTTTCTCTGAAATTCCTAAGTGGAATTTTTTTTTAGTTCTTTTGTACTTTATTTTAAAAGGAATTCATTTTCTCCCTTCTCCCTGGGAAATCTAACAAATAATAACAACCTAGCTTGTTACTATGAAAAAGGTTTACTACAAATAATAAAACAATTTGTGGTAAAATCAGAAAAGCTTTGATACAGAATAAGAATTGGAATAAGAATAGTGTGAAAGATGCTCATCATCGTTGAACATCCTAAAACCCTTATCTTTTAAGTGGCCCATCCAGATAAGGGAAGCTGGCCCTTTGAAAGGGTGTTGCTATTTCAGTTAAATGGGTTTTGGGTGAAGAAGGAGGAATCAGCATAAGGTGTTGTTTGATGAAACAGAAGAATCAGCATGTATAGGTTATCACACAGCAGAGGGATGAAATCACCAAAGAAACCATGATAAGAATAGAATAGAATAGAATAGAATAGAATAGAATAGAATAGAATAG